AAAAAGAAATACGTACATAGAAAAGTAGGGTCAGGAAACGTATAAATGTATAAACTTTCCAAGCATGATTTCCCCCGTGTTTTCGCCAGTGCGCTCGCGGCTAACTACTCTCCACTTCACACACTCTTGCGGGTGGGCAATTACCTATATTAAACATTCATATGCATATGTCCGTGTAGAGAATTTTATTGCGATTCCAATGATACCAAACTTAGCGATGTAGGACAACTGTAGGCTTTGCAACCATTAAGAGAGTGGAAACATTTTGTTGCTGTTTGGCGCTCTCGGCGAGTGATCTGCATAGTTTTTTATTTGGTGTTGATACTCCTTATGCTTGGGCCGCATTTTATAGGTATGCTCTTATAGACAATTTCATTGCGAACACAGTGATACCAAATTCAAATACGTGCGCCTTCAATTATTGTCAGGACAGTCAAAAGAGAGTACACTTTTTCGGTCTTACCGCGTAGGCGCGCGAAGTGCCGAAAGCATCTGGGGTATTGATTTTTTTTGAGTGCCGAGAGCGCGAAAGTGTTAACTTCGGAAATTCCAGAGCTCCGCAAATAACGACCAGGGTACAACCCCATATAGGCCGTTAAATTGAGTGGATACTGTATCCGGATGCAGAGAGGACGGGGGGGGGGGGGGGGGGGGGGGGGGGACCAGACGAAATCACAACAGGGAAAAGACAAACGGGCGAGGAAGGAACAAAACCGAAGCAACCAACACCCCCAAGCCCCGTCACAACAATCAAAACGGGGCAGCCTCGGGGCTTCCGAGAAGCAAACAACCTAGCACATTGCAACCACCTGAACCCAACGTGCTATGCCAATGTTGTCTGCGCCCACATAGTCAGTATAAGACTGGGTAACCGAGTCACAAACAAGCAACAAAACTTGCAGGACTCCGGGTCGAAGGTGCCACCGACCCCACAGGCAGCAGACGGAGGCAAAAACAATGAGTCACCCTGAGACAAGGGGACAGAGCAACCCTCGAACTCGCACAAAGTGAAGGGGGGGGGGGGACTCAGGGGTCACATCCATCGGACCCACGTGCCCCATGGGGATTCCCAAGGTCCTGAGACGGAACTCACGCTCAGGGAAGCCCAGGCAGGGTACTGCTAACTGGCATTCAAGTCTACCAAACAACCTTTTAAGAACTGAACCCCCGGGACGTGTACACTCACGGCGACCAAGCAGGGGGGGAACAACCGGAAAAAGAAGAATACTCAGTACACGGGGCAAGAACCAAGGTAGACCCTCCCTCACCAGGCAAGTAAACAAAAAGAAAAAGAAAACCCCGCAAGAGGACAGCGTACCCAGGCGGAACAGAGCCGGTCGCTATGATTGGTGAAAACATGCTGAGCAGTACCCTGTGCCCCTACCAGTGCAAACTGCCCCCTACCTTAAGGGGAACAAAGGAGGCAGAACACCCAAGCACACAAAGGGCGGTCGAAAACCAAGCAGTAAAAAGCCTAGCAGAGGCAGAACCCAAAGAACTTGTGGAAGGTTGCCCCAAGCCCCAAGGGCAGTATGTACTGGGCACCTAGGAAAAGAAACCTTAGGCGCATGCAGCCCAAGTACTGAAGAATCACTCCCAGCTCATGCACCACCTAGAAGACAGACACCACATACAAGATACAGTGCTGAAACAACCACTGAAGCCAAAGCACACGACCGTTGCCTATAGCATCAGCCTCAGAACTGAGAGGTGGACTGCTGGCACAAGGGTCTGGGGCTCCCCCTTCCCTCTATCGGGGAGGGGGGAGCTATGCAGACAGTGGCGCGGCAACGTGTGACGTCATACTCATTTGCCCATTTCTGTTTGGGGAGTTCTATCCACTTGTTCGGGTTTTCGTCACAATTTTCACCAGAATAGGGGTTTGTTTTGGGATGCTTATCTTTCTGGGTGCCTGACCCAGTCGATGGCAGACATAGAATGCTTCCAACCACATGGGGGTTTCTATAGGCCATTGCTCCTCGTGCCTCTTCCGAGGGAGCCAGGTTCTGGCTCGTGGTCCCCTGTAGGCCCACAGAACTCCATACACATGACTGATGCCAAAGTCTGACATTAGCATATTAGCCTGGATAGCTCCGGGGAGCCAACAGGGCTTCCCCCAGAAAACTTCCAAGCATAGAAAAAGTGGGGATAGGAAGAGAGAATAAATGAGCAGCAAAGTAGCATGCTGTTCTAATATACTGTAAAGTAATTGCATAATTATTACAACTTGGAGGGAATTTACGATATATGCCAAATTTCATGCATTTCCACAACACATTGTTGAACAGCAGAAAAACCTGACTACTGGTATGTGATTGTTCTGCTGACAAGTAACTTCAACTTCTATTTATTTAATTTAACCCTCTCTCCTTAAATGTGGGAATAGTGTGCAGTATATGGTTTATCATTGTCAGGGATGGAAAGCCTGGCAGGCATATCGAGGTTTCCCTGAGCTAATGACTGACTAACTCTAGGATACAATTAACAGATGCATAACTACCAGCTACCTACCATCAAGTACCAGGAAACATGGCCAAATGTCTCATCATACTCGGGAACTGAACTCTGGTCTAATCACATGTGTGCCATCTATACTGTTTTATTTGCATCTAGAGGTATTATTGTTTCATGTGGCTACTAATTATTACGGAGCTATAGTTACACCTCGGCTTACGAATGCCCCTATTTATGAACTTTTCGGGCTACGAGCCCAATTTCTTCAGAAAATTCAGATTGGGTTACTAACTTTGCCTCGGGAAACAAGTTTGTTGATACGTGTATGGCCGACCTAGTGCGTGGTGGCACAGCGATCGCGCCTCAGTTTACCAGTGTCTCCCGCCTAATGACAATCGTGCCTGAATTCTTTGTAAAGAATAACAGTTTTTTCGGATTTTTGGCTATTTGAACATAAAATTTGTTGTTATATATCTCACCATGAGGTCCCAAGAAAGCCAGTGGTAAGGTACAAGCCAAGAAAATACATGTGAGAATGACCATAGAGGAAAAACAAGAGATCATTCGAAAACATGAAAATGGTACATGGGTTGTTGAACTAGCTAGGCAGTACAATAAATCTGTCATTGATATGCACTGTACTTGCTAAGAAAAAGACATTATGAGTGCTAAAATGGCAAAAGGCGTATCAACAATCACGAAACAAAGAACACAAGCATTTACGGATGTTGAAAAGTTGTTATTAATTCGGATACACAACAAGGAGTTAGCAGGTGATAGCATTTCAGAGGCCATCATTTGTGAGAAAGCAAGGCAATTGCATGAAGACCTTTTAAAGAAAAAACCCCTGGAACGAGTGCTGCAGATACAAAAGTTTAAAGCGAGCAGGGAATGGTATTCACAATGTTGTGAGAGTTGTGAGTTGGTGGAGGAATACAGTGAGGAACTGACCACCGAAGAAATCCTAGCCCTTCAGAAGGAGCAGCAACAAGAGGCAGCTGAGGAAATGTCTTCAGGGGAGGAGGAGGCAGTAGAGAATGTCCCTTCCTCAACAATTAGGAAGTGGTGTAGGCTGTGGGAAGAAATGCAAACTTTTGTTGAAACGACTCGCCCAGAGAAAGCAGTAGTAGGCCGTTGCATTAAACTATTTAATGACAATGTGATGTCTCACTACAGACAAGTGTTATAACGAAGGAAAAACAATCCTCTATGAATCGTCTTATAGTGAGAAAATCAAGCAGTGAGCCACAAGCAGGTCCTAATGGTATGCCTGCAAAACATAGGAGAGAGAGATTACCCCAGAAAAGTCATCACTGCCTGATGTTATAATGGAAGGGGATTCCCCTTCCAAACGTTAACACCTCTCCTCCTCCCCCTCCTCACCGTCTCCATATGCCAACAAGAGTCATCAGTAAAGGTAAGTAATAACTTGTACATACTTTAGTACTGAAGATGTGGATGAATTAGGTATAAAATTAGTACTGAACATGTGGATGAATTAAGTATAAAATTTACTTTGAAGTTAATTTTTTGGGGAGTCTGAAACGGATTAATTCAATTTCCATTATTTCTTATGGGGAAATTCGTTTCAGTTTACGAATATTTGGCTTGTCTCTGGGAAAGGATTAAATTTGTAAGCTTAGGTACCACTGTACTATGAAATTATGCAACCCATCCTCCGAATTGACAGTATGATTTAATACTAAGTGTAATAAATACACTTTCTTACTGTAATAAGCAGTGCATAATTGCACTTATGGGGCTGTTACATTGACACAACTCCCTCCCCCGCTTTAATTCTTCTCGTTTTCTGTTAAGTCACTCAGAATTTTAGGATGACGTTTTCAATTTTGATTTGCAATATACAAGTTTTAAATATCAGGAATTTCTTTTTCAGGTTAATTAAACAATATAGACTTTATACAAAATTTTAAAATATCCTGAGTTACTTTACAATTTATTGATATATTTTAGTTTTGTTTTATTAGTTTTATAAAACTGTAATATCAATATAGCTATAGGTTAAGTACTAATTGTAATTAAGAAGCAATACAATTATTATCTTCAAAAACTAAGACGGTTAGATGAGGTTGTGGTTTTCTATTCGGTTTTTCAGGTAAACTCAAATATTCACAATATATCTGACAGTACGATTTAATACTAAGTGAAAATAAGTACAATTCCTAACTGCTATGAATAGTACATAATTGCACTTATTTGTCTTCTTACATTTACCACCCTATTTTTGGAGGACGGGCTGAATTATGAGAATCTAAATAGTGGTATTCACCACACCTGTGTCACCATTACCAACAAGTCATCCTACATGACTCTGCACAAACATGTTCATATAACTTAGTTTTGACAGAATGTGAACCTTTGCTGTGAGGTAGTCCTTGCTAGAACACCACTTCTTTCAAATATTCTTTCTATTACAAAGCTCCTCACTTCTACAGAAAAACTTCATAAGAATAAGCACTCAAGAATGCCATAATCATAGACAGAACCCTGCTCAGTACCTGAACAAATCATCTTAGAAAACACACCCAGAAAAATTTGGAGTTCTTACTGCAGGTGTACCACCAGATGCAGGAGCCAGGTTATCATCTGCTTCAGGTGTGACTCCACCATTTAGTCTATTCTGAGATATAACAACTTCTTCAGCAACAGTCGGAGGCACATCTTCCTCACTATAACTACAGAACAAGCAAAATAAATAAATGCTACAGTATTATGAAGTAATTACAATACAGTATAAATCAAGTTGTGTAACAATTGTTTAAGTGAAATTCTTGTAAGTATAATAATACACCTGCGAATACCATGTGTACAGAAGAGTTACGTTAATCATTAACAGAGAATTGCCTACATATGTTCTGCTTGCATATTAGGTACATGAGCTCATGTATCTGATTAACATTCCCATTTCTGTAAAAAACCAGCGTTGAATGTAATGAAATGCCATTTTTCTGGGCGAGACTCAGAGGCTCCCCAGAGCTTACTAGGCTGATATGCTAATGTCAGACTTTGGCATCAGTCATGTGTATGGAGTTCTGTGGGCCTACCGGGGACCACAGGCCAGAACCTGGCCCCCTCAGAGAGGCATGGGGAGCAATGGCCTATAGACAGCTCCATGTAGTTGGAAGCATTCAATGTCTGCCATCGACCTGGTCAGGCACCCAGAAAGGTAAGCATCCCAAAACAAACCCCTATTCTGGTGAAAACATTGCTACCAAAAGCCGAACAAGTGGATAGAACTCCCCCCTAAAAAAACCGAGCAAACGAGCATGATGTCACACGTCGCCGCGCCGCTGTCTGCACAGTTTCCCCCTCCCTGGGAGGGAGAAGGGGGGAGCCCCAGACCTCCCAAACCGGCTATCCACCCGTCAGTTCTGAGACTGGATGTCAAAACATGCGAAAAACCGCCAACCGGAGGGAGGGAGGGATGCCGGGGAGCCTCCGAGTCTCGCCCAGAAAATGGCGTTTCATTACATTCAATGCTGTTTTTCTGGGGGGAGCCCCTTCGGCTCCCCGGAGCTAACTACACACAGAGGAAAAGTATAATAGGGACTTACCCGGGAGGCGGTCGCTGCTCACTCCTCAACTCGAAGTCGAGACAGCTGGCTGCAACCGCCGACCCAAAGCAACACAGGCCAGACTGTGCCCCAGAACGTTTACGAGGTAACGGGCAGCCAGGACCCTGTTTGACAGCCAAAATCCCCGCGCCTAAACGTCAGCCCAGGACATGTTGCCATAGACGACAGCAAGAGCAGCGAACTTATGAACGTCATGGGCACGGGGATAAACCGAAAGCTGGCTAGCCTTAATAACTCTGCGGATGACCTGGGAGACCTGCACCCGCGAACAGGGAAGAATTGAAACTGGATCAACCCAAAGCATGTCCCCGGACACAGAAGCCATGGCGCGCAAATAACGGTGAAGAGCCGTTATTTGCTCTTACCCCTCCGGAAAGCAGCAGTCTCATTCTTCGCCAGAAAAGAAGGAGACGGCTGCAGATGGACAAAACCATCACGAAGACCGAAAGAGCAGAAACCCCCTGCGCCGGAGAAGAGCATGAAGCTCCCCAACTCGACCCCCAGAGGCCACTGCCAACAGAAAAAGAGCCTTGGAGAAACAATCCTGAACCGAAGGGGCCACAACAAACCGAGGAGAAGAAAGAAAAAAGAGAACTCTGTCCAATGACCAGGACGGCTCAGGCGGCGCATGAGCAGGCCGGAGGTGAAACAACACACGAGACAGCTTACGAAATGGCGCAGAAGTAACATCAATACTGAAAGCAAGCTGAAGCAGCTCCGCCAGCGTCACACGATACGAGGCGATAGTGTTAGGCATAAGGAAACAATCCTGGAACAACCAAAAGAGAAAGGACAACACCACCCTAACAGAAAGCGAAGTACAACGATGAAGACGCAAGAAGAAATGGAAGGACCGCCAGGAAACTTCATACTGCTGCCGAGACAAAGCCCGCAGGTGGGACACTAACAAAAAAGCCACCTGATTACCATAGAGATGATGATGAACTCGAGTAAAAAATATTACACGCGAAGACTCGAGGAGACGATCGAACCAGCCACGTGACGTTCCAGTCCGATCTGCTGGAAGAGGCAGAGCCGCGTAAAAACCTCCGGGTTCGGACACCAAGCAAGCAGCACCTGAAACCACGGCTTGGACGGTCACCACGGGGCCAAGAGGACAACTCTTCCCTGGTAAGTCTCCAAGCAAGCCAGGATCTGGAGCAACAGCTGAACTGGGGGAAAGAGGTACAGGAACCCCCACCTCGACCAGTCTTGCTGAAAGGCATCGACCCCGAGGGCCTCGCAGTTGGGGAAGGGCGCCACATACAGGGGAAGGCATTGCAACCACGCCGACACGAAGAGGTCCACCTCGGGGTGACGGAACTTCTGGTAAAGCCAACTGAAGGAGTTGGCGTCGAGACAGGCCGTCGGCCAATACGTTGGACACTCCCCGCACATGAACTGCCAGGAGAACCAAACCCCGAGAACTTAGCAAACGAGTCACCCGAAGCGACCAGCGCCAAAGAGCTAAGGACCGCATCGACCCCCCCCCCTGGGTTGCGACAATGAAGCACCGGGGAAACAGTCCAAATGGAGCTGGATCGTTGATCCGCGGGTGACCTGAACCCTCAGAAGAGCAAACCACACCGCTGCGAACTCCCGCACTGTGCTGTGGGCTCGACGGAAGGAAGGACCCCACCATCCCTGGCCGACCTGATGAGCACTGGTCACAAATCCCCAGCCGAGAGAGGACGTGTCCGTGAACACATCGAGCAAGGGCTCGGGTAGGCGCCAAGGCACTGAACCCCGAAAAACCCGAAGAGGAAGCTGGCAACGCAGCAGCTGACACAAGGCCCCCGGGGTCCGAACGCAGCAATTGCGAGAGAGGCGGAAGGGACGTCCCCGAAGGAACCAGAAAGCCGACGAAGCCAAACCCGACCCCGGTGGGTAGACCATCATCGCGAAGTTCAGGCTTCCGCACAGGCTCTCGAGCAACCGCCAGGTGACCCGGGAGGCCCCCAAAAACAGGCGCATGCGGGACCACAGCCTCAGGAGAGACTCCGGACGGAGAGACAAGAAAGCGGTCTGAGAGTCCCACACAAGACCTAGCCATGTCCGAACCTGGGAGGGAACCAGATGGGACTTCCTCCAGTTTACCAAGAACCCAAACCCAGTGAGCTGGGAAAGAACCAAATCCCTGGCTAGCAGACAACTGGACCAGCTGGGAGCCCAAACCAGCCAGTCGTCGAGGTAGGCCAACACCCGAACACCTAAGAGACGCAGACGGGCCACGACGACCAGTGTAAGGAGTGTGAACATGCGAGGTGCCAGGTTCAACCCGAATGGGAGACAACAAAAGCTGTAACCCTGACGCCCCACAATAAACCCCAGCCAGTCCCTGAACCCCAGATGAATCGGGACATGCCAATAAGCATCCCGGAGGTCCAGAGACATCATCCAAGAGCTCGGCTCCAACAGAAGCCGAACCTGGGACAGCGTAGTCATCCGAAAGGAGGGGCAATGAACCCAGGGGTTCAGACAGGACGAGTCCAGAATGAACCGCAGGTCCACACAATCCCGTTTCGGTACTCGAAACAGACAGGAAACCCATCTGAGGGACATCGTCATTTCAACCACGCCCAAGTGAACCCACTTCAAAATGACTCAACAGAGCGCAGGGGAAGAGACCTGCCCCGCCAGACGTCAAGTAGGACAACTCCCATTTTTAGAGACAACACTAAACCTGTAGTTTAGTGTCGTGTAAGCGGCCCTGTGGTTGAGGAGCTACCCAACGCCACTGCAGGCCGAGAGAAAAGATCTGAAACGCCTACAAATCGTGGGACCAAGCATGAGCGAACAGCGCAAGCCCCCCTCCCATTGCCCCGTCACAGGGGCGAACAGCAAAAGGGCTGGCGCCCCTTACAAGACCCAGAACTTCGCACAGAGCGACCACCGCGCTGACCAGACGAAGGCGGGACTGAAGGTGGGGCCGAACCCGAACCCGGCACCAGTGGCCTACCACGACGAGAGGAACCCCAAGCCCTGGCACGACCCCTCAGGGAAGGCCTCCCCCCCTGCCCAGGGACCCCTGGAGAACCAACAAGTCAGACATAGGCCAACAAGTAGCCGAAGCAGTCTGAATATACTGCGCCACAGCAGAACCCTCAAAAAGCAAAGGACGAAAAGGCGAAGACATCCTAAGAGCCAGGGCCCAGGCCAATTCCAGGGAGGAGGCAAGCACCGTCTGCCAACATGCGAGCCAAGAAGTATAGAACAGGGAAACCGCATCCCGCAGGATCAGCGCAAACAGCTTCAGCAAACCAGTCGACGAGCAGGCCGCCGAGCCCAAGGCACCGGACCCCGGGATGGCCCTGAGCGTCCCTACATCGTCCTCAAGGCAGTCCGTAGACAGCTCCAGGAGGGAAAAGAAATGCAAGGCCAAAGCCAAAAGGCCACGGGCGCGCATGTCCTCAGCAACCTGTGCAGTCGCGAAAGAGGGAACCTGCACATGGAGCTGCACCACGCCCACATCCCGAGGAAGGGCAGGGGCAAACAAGCACTCGTTGAGGTGCTCCAGGTCGTCCCCCAGGAAAACCTGAACCACCGTCGCAGCCTCGCGCCACTCAAGCACGCTGGTACGGCAAAAAGAATGCCAAGCCTCCAAAGCAAAGACAGGACAGTCCGCCAGCCAGGATGACTCCAGAACCTCGTAATGGACCCAGAAGGGGAATGAAGTCCCAAACCTGAAAAAAGACAGATCCATCACCGAGGCGTAGTCCGGGTCACGCAGGAGGTAAGCCGCAAGGGCTGCCCGTACCACAGAAGGTTGGATTGGATGTGAGAAGCCGAAAACCTCCGGAAAGATGGAACCGACGCCCCCGGGGGGTGGAGCGGAACCCAAGGCCCCTATGTTAGCCCCTCCCCCGCTACGGGATCCTCCTCCGCAGGACCCGGGGCCGAGTCATCTCCCAAAGCACTAGCCTCAAAAGACAAGGCCGGCGCGGCGGCATAAGCCGAACGGAAGGGGGCCCACTGGTCAGACCCGGTGGCTTCGGCAAGGAGACTAGACCCCCACCCTCCAAGTCCAGGTCCCTATAAGCAAAACGGGGCAGCCTCGGGCATCCGGGTGAGCAACCAACCAAGCACGTTGCAACAGCCAAAAACGTACATGAAATCCCTGCGCCGCCTTTACCCCGCATAAGATCATCACTAGACTGGGTAAATTGAGTCACTAGCAAGCAGCAGAACTTACAGGACTCAGGGTCAAAAGTGTCACTGACCTAACAGGCAGCGTGACGGAGGCAAAAACAGTGAGGGTCACCCTGAGACAAGGGGGACCGAACAACCTTCAAACTCGCACGAAGCGAGGAGGGGGGGGGGACTCCGGGGTCACATCCATCGGACCCACGCGCCCCCGAGGGGATTCCCAAGGCCCTGAGCGCTTACCGAGACTCGCGCCCAGGTAACCCCAGGCAGGGTACTGGTAACCGACACCCAAAACTACCAAGCAAACTCACTAAAGCTGAACCCAGGGACGTGAACACTCACGGGACCTAGCAGGGGGCACCACCAGAGAAGAACCGTATTAGGTCAAGCACAAGTGGACAATAAGCAGGGCAGATCCCCCCCACAAGGCAAAAAGAAAAAGAAAACCCCGCAAGAGGACAGCGTACCCTAGAGGAACAGAGCCAGCCGCTATAATTGAAAATAAGGTGTGCAGTACCCTGCATCCCGTACCAGTGCAAACTGCCTCTTACCCTAAGGTAAACAAGGGAGACAAAACACCCAAGTACCCAAAGGGTGGCCGAAAAACCGAGCACTAAAACGGCCCAGCAGAGGCAGGACCCAAGGAACTTGTGGAAGGTAACCCCAAGCTCCAAGGGCAGTACATACAGGGCACCTACCTGCTTGATACCTGCTTGATGGGGTTCTGGGAATTGTTCTACTCCCCAAGCCCCGCCCAAGGCCAGGCTTGACTTGTGAGAGTTTGGTCCACCAGGCTGTTGCGTGGAGTGGCCCGCAGGCCCACATACCCACCACAGCCCGGTTGGTCCAGAACTTCTTTTAGAAAACAGTCTAGTTTTCTCTTGAAGATGTCCACAGTTGTTCTGGCAATATTTCTTATAGTCGCTGGGAGGACGACATCAGCAGCGGACCTCTGATGTTTATACAGTGTTCTCTGATTGTGCCTATGGCACCTCTGCTCTTCACTGGTTCTATTCTGCATTTTCTACCATATCGTTCACTCCAGTACATTGTTATTTTACTGTGTAGATTAGGGACCTAGCCTTCCAGTATTTTCCATGTGTATATTATTTGGTATCTCTCTCGTCTCCTGTCTAGCGAATACATTTGGAGAGCTTTGAGACGATCCCAATAATTTAGGTGCTTTATCACGTCTATGAGTGCCGTATATGTTCTCTGTATTCCCTCTATTTCAGCAATCTCTCCTGCTCTGAAGGGGGAAGTGAGTACTAAGCAGTGCTCAAGACAGGACAACACCAGTGACTTGAAGAGTACAACCATCGTGATGGGATCCCTGGATTTGAAAGTTCTCGTAATCCATCTTATCATTTTTTGGCTGACGCAATATTTGCTTGGTTATGTTCCCTAAACGCTAGATCGTCGGACACCATTGTTCCCAAATCCTTGACGTGCTGTTTACCTATTATGGGCAGATTCGATTGTGTTTTGTACCCTGTATTATGTTTCAGGTCCTCATTTTTGCCATACCTGAGTACCTGGAATTTATCGCTGTTAAACATCATATTATTTTCTGCTGCCCAATCGAAAACTTTGTTGATATCTGCTTGTAATTTTTCCATGTCTTCAGCAGAGGTAAATTTTCATGCTGATTTTTGTGTCATCTGCAAAGGATGACACGAAGCTGTGACTTGTATTTTTATCTATATCTGATATGAGAATAAGGAACAGCAGTGGTGCAAGGACTGTACCTTGAGGTAAAGAGCTTTTAACTGCGCTTGGACTTGATTTTATTTGATTGACTGTTACTCTTTGTGTTCTGTTGACAGGAAATTGAGTATCCAGCGTCCTACTTTACCACTTATTCCCATTGACCTCAGTTTGTGTGCAATCACTCCATGATCACATTTGTCGAATGCCTTTGCAAAGTCTGTGTATATTACATCTGCATTTTGCTTTTCTTCTAGAGCTTCTGTGATTTTGTCATAGTGGTTGAGTAACTGTGACAGACAGGATCTTCCTGCTCTAAATCCATGTTGTCCTGGGTTGTGTAACTCATTATTTTCCATAAAACCAGAAATTTGATTCCTAATCACTCTTTCAAAAACTTTTATTATGTGTGATGTTAGTGCAACTGGCCTAAAAATTGTTGCCAAGGCTTTACTTTCCTCCCTTGTGCAAAGGAACTGTATCTGCAGATTTAAGTGCTGCTGGTATCTCTCCTGTATCTAGGCTCTTTCTCCATATTACGCTGAGTGCTCATGCTACTGGTACTTTACATTTCTTTATGAATATTGAATTCCTTGAGTCAGGCCCAGAGGCTAAGTGCATGGGCATATTGTCAATTTCTCTTTCAAAGCCTTCCGAGTTCGTGTTAATATCTGTATTATCATCTGCAGCTTGAATGTCATTCATAAAGAAGCTGTCTGGGTCATCAACTTTCATGTTGTTTATTGGTGTGCTAAACATAGCCTCATACTGGCTTCTTAGAATTTCACTAATTTCTTTGTTGTCCTCTGTGTACGTACCTTCAGTTATAATTAAAGATCCAATACTGGTGGAGGTTTTTGATTTTGATTTTGATTTTGCATATGTGAAAAAATATTTAGGATTTTTCTTCATCTCTTGTATAGCTTTCTGTTCCAATTCCATTTCCTCAGCCTCGTATGATCACTTCAACGTTTGTTCTATTTCTTCGATCTCCCTGTTTAGGTTTATTTTCCTTGCATGTGATAGTGGTGCCTGCCTAAGCATTTCCGTTATTTTTTCCTTCTGTACAATCGTCTGCATTCTCTTTCTGACCCTCCTCACAGGCACGTGCTTCAGGCAGACCTTGTATGCTTCAGCTGTCAGTTGATCTATTCCCTGTGTGGGAGTTTTGTCACTTAAGACCGTCTCCCATTGAATGGTTGCAAGGTCTACATTTATTTTTTCCCAGTCGATCCTCTTATTGTTGAAATTGAATTGATTGAATATTCCTTCTTGCTTGTTGGGTCTCTTAAGACGTACTACCGTTATTAGACCTACTTCTACCTACTATCTAGACCTACTACTGTTACCTAGGGAAGGGAACCCTAGGCGCATGCAGCCCGAGTACTGGAGAATAACTCCTGGCTCTTGCACCCCTAGAAGACAGCCACCACACTCAAACTGAGTGTGGGTGGCTGTCTGAGCACAAAAGTGCTGAAACTATCACTGGAGCCAGAGCACACGACTGGAGCCTCTAGCATCAGCCTAAGAACTGACGGGTGGATAGCCGGCGTCGTGGGGGGTCTGGGTCTCCCCCTTCCTCCTCCCATTGAGGGTGGGAGCTGCGCAGACAGCGGCATGACAACATGCAACATCATGCTCTTATGCTCATTTGTTTTAGAGGGGGTTCTATCCACTTGTTCAGCTTTTGGTAGCAATATTTTCACCAGAATAGGGGTTTGTTTTAGGATGCTTACCTTTCTGGGTGCCTGATCTGGTTGATGGCATACATAGAATGCGTCCAACTAAATGGGGGTATCTATAGGCCATTGCTCCCCCATGCCTCTCTGAGGGGGCCAGGTTCTGGCCTTTGGTCCCCGGTAGGCCCACAGAACTCCATACACATGACTGATGCCAAAGTCTGACATTAGCATATCAGCCTAGTAAGCTCCAGGAAGCCGAAGTTGTTTCCCCCAGAAATGCTTTGGAATTTAAATATTAACAAAGAGAAATACCGAGTTGACGCTATTTTAAGCATGATAAATCTAGTAGTCTATGAATCAAGTTGCTCAAGTACACAACATTGTGAGTGATGCGTGATACACGCACACATGCCCTTAGAATTTTGTAGAAAATAAATTAAATGGTTTAAAGGTCAATGACTCATACACAACATTCATGGCAATAATAATAAATGAGGTCAAAATTCAATAAGACATCTTTAACTATCCACATTAGTTCACTCAGTGTTCACTAGGAATAGTGCCACCTTACAGACACGACCTTCATTGTAACATCTCACTTAGCCACTTAATCCTTCAATTGGTTCTTACATGGTACTTCTATCTTCAATTTTCCCGTCAAAACTCACCACTGTTCCTGTGACAACAGTTGCAATGCTTTTTCGTCCAAGTACTTTTGCCGCCACTTACAGTATGACTGACTGATGAGGTGTTCCCCAGAGATGTGAGTACTGTTGTATATCTCTTCTCTGTAAAAATATTAATTAGCTGTAAATTTATGAATAAACAATAGCTAAAATATGGTTATTCAGGTATTTATTAAAAACATTATTTCAAAAGTCAATTATAAATAATTATTTCTTGAGCTCGATATGAACAGTAGTTAGAACATGCTGAATAGTCTTGATATCAAACAGAGTCATGTCTTTCACATTGCCACCAACCAATCTACCATGAACTGTTCTTCTCTATTTCAATATTATATTGTAAAGTTTGTGGCAGGATGTTAAATTTTCCCAAGTGAGTTTTTGTCTACCCACAGAACTGTATGATGCTATGTAAAATTGCAAGCTTCATCACTTGGGTTTTTAATATCTCTTGGTTTAGAGTAGGTACATGGCCTTTTCTGTCAAATTATGCAGAAAAACCATGCTTCTTGAGCAGTTCCCAGTGTCATACCTACCCAAACACCTCCCCGAGTATCTAAGGCTCTTGCCATAATTTACTCTGCTGTTTAGTGTCCAGATATTGGACATTAGTAACCAGTATGTTGTACAATGCAGAATGAAAACATTAAATTTGCGTTTCTTATATGTGGATTTAAACTTATATACAATCGGGTCAATGCATTGCCAGTCATCTCTAAGCAAATATTTGTACTTCCTGGTCTACTTGCCATACAAGTGGCATGATGATCATATATGTACTGAATATAAAAGAATATACTGTAGTTCAAATAAGCACTGAATAGTCAAACAAAATGATCATATCAAATACAGTTTAACACCTAATCTAAAAGCTGAGCCAATGTCACACCAACCTTGAATACACAATACACATTGACATACTACTTGTATTTTATAGCATTTTAAGGAATATGTTGGCAGTGTGTGTAATTCAGATTATATATGTAAACTTAGAGAATCCTTACATAATGAAAGAATTATGGATATGATACCAGACCACACACTTGAAGGTGAAGGGATGACAACGTTTCGGTCCATCCTGGACCATTCTCAAGTCGATTGTGATGAGGAAGTAAATGCAGGCAATAAATAGGCTAGAGAAAGGTGAGGAGCAAAGTGTAGTAGAGGGAATAGTAGTAAGAACTGCAGAGGGCCTATTGGCCCATACGAGGCAGCTCCTATTATAACCACCGAATGAGAAGGAGATAGTAATAGGAATAAGAAGAGGATAGTAAGGGAACATAAAGACAACAATGAACAGAAAAGAGAGAAAGAAAAGGAAAGAAAAAGAAAGATAAATGAAAGGGTAAGCTTATGTTAGGTCACGTTTGTTAGAAAGATTAGAGCATTTAAGTATATACTGTGAAAGGAAAGAGTCCACAGCAACAAAGCCAGGACTCAAGTTCATGTTGGGTACATTGTGTATTAGAGCCAATTCAACAAGACGGCGTCTGTGTAGAGTAGAGGCAGGAAAGATTATTTTGGAGGAAGACCAATCAATAGGGTGTTTGGAATCCCTCACATGACAGAAGAGAGCATTGTTAGTGTCTGCAGACTTAACACTTCTCTTGATTCTTTAAGTCATTTTAAGTCTGTCATTCAGTGTACGGCCAGTTTCGCCAAAGTATTGGAGAGGACAAGACGAACAGGAAATAGAATAGACACCAGCAGCATTTGAAGCAGGAGGAGCAGTGTGAACTAGATTGCTACGAAGTGTGTTAGTTTGTTGAAAGGCGAGCTTTATGTCAAGAGGACGAAAGGTATTGGTAAAAGTTTTGAGTTCAGATATGAAGGGAAGGCATAGTACAGTGCTACTAGTGTTGGAAGCAGGTTTAGGATGAAAGAAATTGCGTTTTGCTTGAGAGTAGGCACAGTTGATGAAATGCAAAGGGTAACCAAGGTGAGAGAATGATTTGTAGATAAAGACAATTTCAGAATCAAGAAACTGAGGGTCGCTGAGGCGTAGAGCGCGAAGGAAGAGAGAGACGAGGACACTTTTCTTAACAGAAGAAGGATGGTAGGAAAAGAAGTGAATGTACATGCCCCTATGCATGGGTTTGGGGTAGACAGAGAAAGAGAACCCGGACACAGAGCTATGAACGTGAACGTCAAGAAAAGGAAGGAGGGAATTAGATTCCCACTCAACTTTGAAATGGATAGAAGGAGCCAGACTGTTAAGAGAGGAGATGAAAGGCTGGAAAAAACTAAGGTCATGAGGCCATAAAGCAAAAATGTCATCAACATAGCGAAGCCAGAGAGAGGGACGAGTATCACTAGAAGGAAGAAGAACAGTTTCAAAATATTCCATGTAGAAATTAGCAAGAACAGGGGAGAGAGGGGAACCCATAGCGACATTGAAAGTTTGAGTGTAATAATTACCATTGAAAGAGAAAGAGTTAAGAGTCAACACAGAGTCTAATGAGTTCGAGGAAAACGTCAGTGGGAAGCGGAGAGGAAGAAGGCCCTCAGACGTCTTCTGTCTAAGAAAAGAGAGAACGTCATCAAGCGGAACATTAGTGAACAGAGTCGACATCAAGACTAAGCATCTTACAAGAGGGTTGCAGGCACAGTCTTTCTATGAAGTCCTGAGAGTGACGAAGGTGGGCAGGGGAAAAAGTGCCAAGGTAAGGCGTCAGGGTTTTAGCGAGCCAGGAGGCAAGAGGATAGCTGACAGAGCCCCGTGAAGAAATGATAGGACGAAGAGGAACACCAGGTAATGAGTCTTTGGCAGACCATAGAAATAAGGAAGAGAAAGGCAGATGACACGGAAACGTTTAATGAGATCAAAGTCAGGAGGACAAAGACTAGAGAGCTGTCTCATTTTGCGGTTAAAGGAATTTTTTATGTGATCCAAAGGGTTAGAGGTCAGAGGAGCATAAGTGCGAGAGTCAGAGAGCAAGACATCTGCTTTTCGGAGATAGTTCTCACGGTCAAGGACAACCACCGAATTGCCTTAGTCGGAAGGAAGGATAAGAATAGAGTTGTTAGATTTCAGGGATTTGTGGTCTGGTCATCATACTTTAGCCACGTTAGTGTGACTTATCGCCTGCAATTATGGATATATTGGACACAGCCTGTGTACTGTGACATTTAGGTAGAGGACCATGGGATGGTGTACTTTTTCGATAACAAGTATTGTAACAGTGTATTCAGTCTGACAAGTGTACCGTATATACACATTTGCCAAGACCAGAGCTGCAAAAAGTTATAGCCATATATGTGATCACTTATCGTTACACAAACCTAATGTAATGAAAATAATAGATTAAATTTTGTAATTACCTAAGTGTAGGTACATAATGAGAGCTATGCTTGTGGTGTTCCATCTTCCCAGCACTCTTTGTCATATAACACTTTGAAATTACTGATGGTTTTAGCCTCCACCACCTTCTCACTTAACTTGTTCCAAACAGTCTACCACTCTGTTTGCGAAAGATAACTTTTTAATGGTTATCAGCAGCTTTGTTTCCTTAGCTTACATGTTTGACTTCTTGTTCTTGAAATGTGCAATAATGTGTGATAACTATGAAATAGTTTTAATGCCAGCTCAGGTTATGGATGCTTCTGCATTTGCTTGCAGTGTGAAATCAGTAATGATTATTAAGTATTCGCTTTGGGCTGGATTTTTTACCCTACTGCTTGTAAATGTGACGAAACGACCTGATACCAGTGATGGACCGAGCTGGGCACATTTGGCCCCCTTCAAATTGTTCAGCTAAAATTACATTGACCCTTAACTATGACTTACGGACAACGTCGTGATAAAAACCCAAAGACAGCATTTAAGAAAGCTGGAAGTGAATTGCCTTCCTGTAGTAGTATGTCAGCGAGGGCAGCATCATGACGGCCACCCTCGGAAGTGGCACTCATGCTGCTAGCGGCTGCAACACAACTCTCTCACACTTTATATCACCCCTTCTCCACGCTATTTGAGAGGCCTGTGAGTAGGATACGAGGCCAGCGCTGTTGATTTAAGGGCGAGAGCAAACTAGTGTACCTCTTGTGATGGCTCCTCCGGTACTCGCCCTCCCCAATGTTGACATTAACTACCGCCCTAAAATATTTCACCGCCCACCCGCCCAAAAACATTTCAGATTCAGATTCAGATTCAGATGTTTATTCAGGTAAGGTATATACATACAAGTGATGTTACATTAATGGATTGATATATAGATAGAGCTAGTACATACAATGCCTAAAGCCACTATTACGCAATGCGTTTCGGGCAAGAAAAACATTAATATCTAGAACTTAATACTAATTTCTATTACTAACTATTTCTATTTCTATAACTTATTTCTATTAGAACTAATACTAATTTCTTAATACTAATTTCTAATCTTAATACTAATTTCTATTCTATTCTATTCTAATTTCTAATTTCTATATAATTTCTACTAATACTAATACTAATTAATTAATAATATTTCTTGCTCTTATATTATCAAGGATAATTACTTACCTGTAACAATTACATTTTAAATGACAAAACAAAGTCATAAATTTATTATTTTATATTTTGTCATTTGTGTAGTAGCAAATATATGGATGTTGAGGGTTGTCTACATCTGTGGAGGACAAGCAACATTTACCAGGCTTAGGGCCCGCGCAGAAATATCCATGAAAAAAATATATGTGAAGGTTGATTTGCTATTTTAGTGAAGTTTAATGGTTTTTTCAAACACAAAAAAACTCATAGTTAACTTTCTTATGCAGGCGGGGTTGTTTGTAAATTTGTGTGATGGCTTGATTGTCTATTTCAGTAAAGGATGAATAGCTGTTTCAGTGCGAGTTGATTTTCTGTTTCAGCCAGGGTTAATTATCTATAATAATAATAATAATAATAATTTTTATTTAGGTAAGGTACATACATAAAGAGATTTTACAAAGTTTGTTGGCTTTATTTTTTTTTTTGAGATATATACAAGAGTTGTTACATTCTTGTACAGCCACTAGTACGCGTAGCGTTTCGGGCAAGTCCTTAATCCTATGGTCCCTGGAATACGATCCCCTGCCGCGAAGAATCGTTGCCTAGATAATCGTTATAGATAGAGCTAGTACATACAATGCCTAAAGCCACTATTACGCAAAGCGTTTCGGGCAGGAAAAACATTAATGATTAAAGCTTAAAACTAATGGGTAAAAAGAATAAAATGTGTTGAGAACAAATAAAAATAGAGGTAAAAGAGGGGGGAACATTGTTGAAAAAGCAGCACAAATACAATTACAAATTAATACAGAAAATTACAATCAAACAGCGTTGATTTGAAAAAAAAACAAAAACAAAAAACATACATGGGTTGACAACAGAGGGGTAATGTAGGTTACAGGGAATTTATTAGGTATAGCTTCGTTTTTAACTTAAACTGGTTGAGAGAGGTACAGTCTTTAACATGGTTGGGAAGGTCATTCCACATTCTGGGCCCCTTGATTTGTAGAGCATTTCTGGTTTGATTAAGTCGTACTCTAGGAATATCAAAACTGTATTTATTTCTGGTGTGGTGCTCATGGGTTCTGTTACAACCTTCTATGAAGCTTTTGAGATCAGGATTGGCATTATAGTTTAGCGTTTTATATATGTATAATACACATGAGAGAATGTGAAGTGACTTAATGTCTAACATATTCAGAGATTTGAGTAGGGGTACCGAGTGATGTCTGGGGCCAGAATTGGATATTGTCCTAATAGCAGCTTTGTGTTGAGTAATTAGAGGACGTAAGTGATTTTGGGTAGTAGAGCCCCAAGCACAAATACCATAGTTGAGATATGGATAGATAAGGGAGTAATAGAGAGTCACCAGGGCAGGGCGTGGTACATAATATCTGATCTTAGAAAGAATGCCCACAGTTTTTGAAACTTTTTTTGATATGTTTAGAATGTGTCCCTGGAAATTCAGCTTGTGGTCAATGAGAATGCCAAGGAATTTGCCATCTAATTTGTTACAAATTTGGGTATTGTTTATTTTGAGATTTATTTGATTAGTGGATTTATTGCCAAACAGAATGTAGAAAGTTTTGTCAATGTTAAGGGTGAGTTTGTTGGCAGTTAGCCACAGATGGACTTTATTTAGCTCAGTATTTACTGTGGCATTTTGAGCAAGGGGATCAGGACTGGAGTAAATGAAGGTTGTGTCGTCAGCAAACAGAATTGGTTTGAGGTGTTGGGAGGCATTTGGAAGGTCATTAATGTAGATGAGAAAGAGGAGAGGGCCAAGTATGCTGCCCTGGGGAACACCAATGTTGATGGGTAGGGTGGGAGAAATTGTATTATTCACAGACACACATTGGAGCCTGTCAGTAAGGTAGGATTTGAGGTATTGTAGGGAGTGTCCTCTGACTCCATAATGATGTAATTTAAGAAGAAGGTTTTGGTGGTTGACAGTATCGAAAGCTTTACGCAGGTCCACAAATAACCCAACAGGGAATTCATTTTTATCAAGAGCTGTATGAATCGAGTTAAGCATACTAATAAGTGCATCGTTAGTGCTTTTTTTGGGTCTGAAGCCATATTGGCAAGGGCTAAGTATATTGAGTTTGGCTAGATATGAGTAAAGCTGCTTATAGATTAGTTTTTCAAAAATTTTTGACAAGTTTGGCAGGATTGATATAGGTCTGTAGTTGTTAACATCTGTGAGATCACCACATTTGTGGACAGGCGTTACTCTCGCTTTTTTTAGAATATCTGGAAAGGTTTGGAGTTCAAGTGACTTGTTGAAGAGCAAAGCAATAGCAGGGGCTAAAGATCTGGAGGCTTTTTTGTAGATTAAAGTTGGTATCTCCTCAAGGGCACCAGACTTGGTTTTAAGGGAAAGGATTATCTCATTGACGTCAGTGGAATTAATAGGCTTTAGGTACAGAGACTGTGAATAGTTACCTGTAAGATAGTCCTTAATGTCAGTCCTTAATCTGTTGCAGTGAGTGTTGCTAATTACCTCCATGAAGCCTACCTTACCCCGTAAATGTCAACCCGTGTAAAATATAAAAAATACAAATATTTATTCAGGTAAAGTACATACATACAAGGTGAGATACAAAGCGTTGATGGATTTATAGATAGAGCTAGTACATACAATGCCTAAAGCCACTATAATGCAAAGCATTTCGAGCAGGAAAACACTAAGACTAAAACTTAATACTAATTGAGTTTAAAGTATATGGCCTCTGATTTGCAATACAAAGCGGAGATGTTTCTGAAAAGGGGGACAAGGAAACAATTGCACAGCGCGTCCCGCGTGGGTGCGCGGGAAGTCTGGGGCCATATAAATTCCGGGGCAGAGAGGGGCTCTCTCTCATTCCGCCCGACCTGTCGCAGCACTCGAAACTGCACTGCGCCTCAACGACACGTGGACCAGTACTCAGTCCTGCATTCATCAGTCTGTCGTTACGGCAGGGGCCCCCTGCCCTACTCTAAGGTAATGTGCAAAAATTTTCTGTTAAAGTTTAGTCAGGACTGTCCACAGTGTTTGGCGTGTGTTGGCACCTCCCCCCCCCCCCCGCGGTCCATGTGGGCCGCCTTAGTTCTCTAGGGCCTTCTGCACGTTCTCGTGTCTTGAGGTATGCAGGCGCGCCTTTTAATCTGTGCCAGGTGCTGCAGCGGATGCTATTTTGCTGCTGCCACAATGTCCCGGGTCGGCGTGTGTTTGCGCCGTGTCCCGAGTGGCCCGCGCCTGGTAGTGTTATCTCCCAGGCGTGCACTAAGGGCACTGGTCAGCTGTGTTCCCTAGGCGTGCGCCTAGGGGCCCAGGTTCGTGCCCGCTCAGACGTGCGCGTGCCTGGCCGGGCCCCCTGCGAGCGGCCTGGCGTCGCCCTTGGAGGCGCCCCCACGTGGGCAGGTTTCTGTGGTCCTACGCCCCTAGGGCCGGCCCTGTGGGCCCAAAGCCCGGTCGGCGTCGCCCACGTGGCGCGGAGCCCGTGGAGCGCTTGCCCCGGGCGTGCCCTTTGCTTCCACGGGTTGGAGATGCCTGTTGTGTCCCCTACCTAGGCATGTCCCTAAGCCCATGGTGCGTGCCGCGCCCGGACGTTCGTGCCCGGCGGGCTCAGGCGCGTCTGGCGTGTTTTGCGTTCATCAGGTATGCAGGTATGTTTGTATGGTATGTATGGTAACATACCTGCAGGTAAGTTTGTTTCCAGACGTCTCGCCTGGCCAGGGTAGCCCAGTACTTTTGTTCCCAGACATTTCGTCTGGCCGGTCGTGTAGCCCAGCACGTTCGTACCCAGACGTTTTCGTCTGGCCAGTGTAGCCCGGCACGTTCGTACCCAGACGTTTTCGTCTGGCCGGTCTAGCCCAGCATGTCAATTCCACCACGTTTCGTACAAATCCTGTAGCACGGTACTCCCGTCTTCTAATTATTGCGGTCATTTATTATTTATTTTGATCATTTTTAAACACATAAGCCTTTATATTTAGTCTTTCAGCTATAATTAGTTTCATTACGCTGCATTTTTAGGAAATTTATAGCTTTGCTTAGAGTTGGTCTGCCTGGAGTTACGCTGCAATTTTAGGAAATTTATAGCTTTGCTTACGCCTGATGCCTTTAAATTTCTATTTTCGTAATATAGGTATTCATATTTTCATGTCAATTTCTCGTAATTAAGTATTCGTATTTTCATGTCAATTTCTCGTAATTAAGTATTCGTATTTTCATGTCAATTTAGTGAATGGGAGCCCGCTCCTGTTTTGGTGATTTACGTTCCTCCATCGTTAACTATACGCTTACTTAAATAACTTGTTGTTACATTTAAATGTGTGTTCTATGGGGAGTCTAGTATTAATGGATGTAGGGGCAGTAGTTAGCATTAAGGGTTATCAAATGTGGGAGATCTAAAAGGCCCGGCTTCCATTACATATGTAAACATAAACTTGTAGTGGCTTATTACAGCAATAGTCAGCCTAGAGGTTGATCATAGTGTTGATCATCTCCTACACAGGAAAAATGGATACTCCTTTAACTAACTTACTTATTTATTAACCCCTTAACAACCCCCCATATACATTCACACCAATAACAATAATAATTACTTTACCACACTATCTTACGTTAAAAGCC